ACGCTTCCACCCCCTGGAAACAGCAGGAAGGGAGAGCGCTCTTGTGCCCCGGTCCTGCTTTGAGTGCTTCTCATTGACGCGTCTGCTTGGCCACTCACTCTACATGGGCCCTTGTGGCCTTGATCCAGTAGCCGGGTCCTTCTTTGGAAAGAGCGAGCGCCTCCCTCCGCCCCCGCCACACGGAGCTCAGCCTGCACGTGGGCAGGCCCTTTGCGTCACGTGCGCTTGGCGCGCTGCTCTCTCCAGCTTCCTCCCGGCCGGGCCAGCGGCTCCACCTCTTTTCCTTTGCCTTTGAGCCGCTTAATTCCCAGCAAGCAATTAGCAGGCTCGCTCCACCTCCTCCTCCTCCCGGCTTTGCTGCTGCTGCTGCGAGGCTCTTTTCCTCCACCGACGGCACGCTGCGCCTTGGAGAGGTTCCCGCTTCCTCGAGGGGGGCCGGCCAAACGCGCCCCCAAAAATGTTGCGCCCGGTGCGGCCGGCACCCCTGGCACCCCCCACGCTACGCCACTGCTGAGAGAGGCAGGGGCCAGCCCAAGGTCACCCATGGAGCTTCGTGGCCGAGTGAGGATTTGAAGCCTGGTTCCCCATGTCCTGGTCTGATGCTCTAACCAGGCATGTCCAAAGCCCATTCCGGGGGCTTAATCTGGCCCACTGGTCGGTTTAATCCGGCCCCTGTGGCAGTTTATTTCTTGGGGTAAAATCCTAAAAGAACCTCAATAACTCCAATCCTAAAAAAAGGTCAACAACAGGCCTTCACTTCATCAAATCTGGCCCTCTTTGAAAAAGGTTTGGACACCACACACTGACTTCCTAGCAGAGCTTATCCCACTTACCATCTATTCCCGCCCCCCCCCCTCATCACAGGGAGCCATGGCCCTGGTCTACCTCTGCGTAGAGGACATCTTCAAGCTCATCAATTACTACAGCTTTAGCTACTGGTTCTTTGTGGGCCTGTCGATCGCGGGGCAGCTCTACCTACGCTGGAAGGAGCCGTCGAGGGAACGTCCCCTCAAGGTAGGGCAGGGGAAACCCTCAAAACTCGTCTTTAAAAAGAAAAAAAGGATCCCACAGCCTGCTGTTCTGTGCTTAAATTCACAAGGCACGATGCATGCTGTCCCTCGAATGCTCATTTAGGCGTTCTGCAGTGCTGATCACACACCCTTTCCTGTGAATGGTGCAAAGTCCACCTCGTCCAGTATCCTTTGCAATGGTCCCAGCCAGCAGGAAGTGGTCCGTAATAAATCAGCCAGTGGTTCTTTCTAAAACTGAGCCTTCCTAAAACCGAGCTGCCTCTCTCGCAGAGCATATGCATTCTGCCCGTGCACCAGCATCCTTTGCAATGCATCGTGGCTGTGGGCAGGTAGTCGCTGTGGCCGAGATTCCTGCCAGGAGGGGATGGGCCAGAATGGCTTTAATAGGCAGAGCAGTGAGCTCCGTGCTGGAAATCAATGGCCCCAGACTCCAAGAAAAAGAGGAGTAGTGTAAGGCTGAGAAAAGTGGATGAAAAGTAAGTTCTCTCGCTCTGTATAATAGTGGTAATAATTTTATTATTTGTACCCCACCCATCTGACTGGGTTGCCCCAGCCACTCTAAAAGCATGTGGCAAGGACCGTTAGCTTGAGATGGCTCCGGAAAGGGGATTGTTGCATTCCCAGTGTGGTTGCTGTGCTGGTAGCTAAGCAGAGCTTCCATGTTCAGGTGCAGTATACCCCCGAGGACTAGTCGGCTGGAGGCAAAGAGAGTTCATTCCTTCCTTATGATCTCACCCAGCTGCTTGCTTCTTGGAAAGAGACTGCTGTACCCGTTGAACTGAGCTTGTTCCCCCTCAGTTCTTCGGAGGAGAGCCTGAGGTGAAGGCTGGGAGGTAGTTTGAGATGCCAAGTGACGCCCCTTTTTCTTCCCCCACCAGCTCAGCATCGTCTTCCCCATCATCTTCTGCCTCTGCACGGTCTTCCTGGTAGCCGTCCCCCTCTACAGCGACCCCATAAACTCCGCCATTGGCATTGCCATAGCAGCTTCCGGACTGCCCGTCTACTACCTGGTGGTGAGGGTGCCGGAGCAGAAGAGGCCGCACTTCTTGCGCCGGGCCGTGGGTGAGTCAGAGGGGGAAACACCCTCCTCCATTTCACTGATGGCTTCTTAGCTCTCCCTGCTCCACTGCTAGAACAACTACGCTTAAACTGCAGAACAGAAATTAGCGTTGGGTCCCGATAGCGGAGGGAGCTTTGTACTTTCCCCCACGATGTCGATAACAGCAAACAAATGTGCTCCGTCTCTCCAACAGCCCTTTCAGGTGTTTGAAGAGAGCTACCGTGTTGTCTCTTAAATCAACTGTCTTCTCTAGGCTAAACATACCCAAACCCTCCGAAGTCCCTATGAGGAAATGTCGAAGGGAGTCTGGTGCATTTAGTCTTGGGATGAGTAAGAGGGGACACGATAGTCATCTTAAACTGGGCTGGTTCTCCCTGAAATATTTACAGTGGTACCTTGGTTGTCGAACTTAATCCGTTCTGGGAGTCGGTTTGATTCCCGGAATGGTTTGAAAACAAAGACTCGGCTTCCGATTGGCTGCAGGGGCTTCCAAAAAAACGTTTGCAAACCGGAACACTCACTTCTGGGTTTATGGTGTTCAGGAGCCAAAACGTCCGAGTACCAAGGCGTTTGACAACCAAGGTACAACTGTATTAAAAATGCAGAATCCATGTTGCATAATTGGACTGTAATGCATAGGCAGAGATGGAGGGGGATTTTATTATGATAACAATAACCCTCAAAACCACCTGCTGCTTGAGGCTTGGACTGCAGGGGTTGCCAACCTTTCTAGGGCCCATTTGCAAACTGGAGAAACAGTTGCATCACTCACTGACGTAGAGCCTGCAGGATCAGGCCAATGTTCCCTGTAGTCCAGCATCCTGTTCTCAGGATGGGGCCAACCAGATTTCCAAATGAGAAGCCTGCAAGAGCCCCTTTTACCCCCTCCTGTGTTTTCCAGCAACTGGTATTTTGAAGCATTTATGCCTCCGACCGTGGAGAAAGCACAGCCACCCCACAAATGCTCCCTGGCTCTCTCTGGCCTCAACCTGACGTGTCCCTTTCCTCCCTCCGCAGCCTCCATGACGCGGCTCATCCAGCTCGTAGCCTTGTGTGTCCTGACGGAGATGGATCCCGACACAGAAGCGAAGGATCAGTGATGCGGACGCTGCCCAGGGGCAGTGGGGAGGCCGGCTTCTCCCCCTCGCCTGCTCCTTCTGTAACAGACTCTTTGGTGACCTCTAATTTATTGTTTGCTACTTGGCCAGACCCATTCGCGAGGAAGTCTTTGGGGACTCTGCCGGGACAGCTGTTGCAGGAACTGAGAGACTCGCTCGCCTATTTTTGTTCTCGTCTGTAAAACGTGGGAGTGTCTGTGTGTCCTTTCACCCTCAGCAGCTAAGTCCCAATAAACCCTCAGAGTGCCACAGGTTTGCCTGTGGACGTTTATTCTTACCTTCACGCCTGCAACCTCCGAATTCTTGGGCCTGCTGTCAAATGAGCCTCAAGGCAATCTTAAGACACACCTTAAACAGTCAAGCCACTGGCTCACCCAGCTCAGTCCTGTTTCTGCTGACCAGCAGTGGCTTGGCAGAATTCTCTCCCTGGGGATTGAACTTGCGACCTCCCGCATGCCCTAGCTCTGAGCTCTGCCCCTTCCTCTCCACGCTTAGGTTTTGCCACCTCTTTCCTCGAGTCCCTCCCCTCCTTGCTTTCTTTTCCTTCTCAGTGATCCCTTTTCCACAGCCTGCCAAACCTATTCCTCCCAGAGTCCACTAGAATGTAAGTATATGAGGAATGTGCAGAAGACAAGCCTGGTGGATCGGCCTATCAAATGCAGCATCCAACCAGGTGGCTTTGGGACCTGAGGGCAAGAGCACTCTTTCCTCCTCTTTCCAGCAACTGGCGTTCAGAAGCAGCGCTGCCCCCAACTGTGGAGGCAGCAAGCAGCCACAGATCGCCTTATCCTCGCCTAATACGCTTTTAAAAACCATCACTGCCTCCTGTGGCAGCGAGTTCCATAGTTTAACTATCCGCTATGTGAAGGAGAACTTTATCTGTCCCTGAACCTTCTGACATTCCGCTCCACTGGGTTTCCACGAGAGTCTAGTGTTATATGAGAGAGGGAGAAAACCTTTTCTTGGTCACCTCTCACTCACCTTTTCTGTAAACCAAGTGCTCCTTCTCCTTGATGATTTCGGTTGCTCTTTTCTGAACCTCAAAAATCATAGAGTTGGAAAGGGACCATGAGGGTCATCCAGTTCAGGCATAGGCAATCTCGGCCAGCCAGATGTTTTGGGACTACAGCTCCCATGATCCATAGACAACAGGACACTAGTCCCGGTCAGGGATGATGGGTATTGTAGTCCCAAAACATCTGGTGGGCCGAGGTTGCCTATGCCTGATCTAGTCCAAGCCCCTGCCAAGCAGGAATCTTTCACCCAACGCAGGGCTCTTTATATTATCATCAGCCAAGGCTCGTGGCCTAAGTTGGTTTTGGAAGAGTGAAAGTTTGCTTTAATCCCTCTGAAAGCGAGGGCAAGGGATCTGGCATGCCAAGTACTACGACAAGACCACTAGCTGGATCACACCAAGCAGTCTGTTGTACTAGTACTAATCCTGCATCTCATTGAGGGTTGCTTGAATCTTGCCAGGGAGCCAACAAATGAGGCATATAAGGCAACAGCCCCCTCCTGTGTTGGGCTCCGTTCTCGCAGCCCACACTTCCAGTATCTAGAAAAAGGATAGGGAACCCATGTCCCACCTGATGTTTTGAAACTACAACTCCCATCATTCCTGACCTTTAACCTGGGGGCTGCTGGAAGCAGGAGTTTAACGTCATCTGAAGGGTTCCTCCATCCCAAATTCAGAGGCTTACAACTCCTGCAGGTTCTGTTTGTCTGCATTCCCCGTGTGGAAACTTTGCGGGAGAAAAAGTGAGTCGGGGAGAAAAATCTGGGAAGCACCAAACGTGTGAGGAGGACGTTCCACATCCTTTATTACCTAATCTCAGAAAACAGAGGCGTGGGCCAGGGGTGGGGAGGCGGGAAGGAGAAGGAGGCTCTTTTCCCTGTGCAAAGTCTTTTGGTTTGGTGTCGCTTGCCGCTCAGCCTAACGTGTCCTCCCAGGGTCTCTTTCGTGGCGGCGGCTTCGCAGGACCCGGCTGGTGCTGCTCCAAAGGGTTGTGGGAAAAGGTCTGGCGCAGCGGCCCTGAGTGGAAGAGAAGCCCACGTTTCGTTAGTTTGTTTCCGCAAAGCGGGTAAGGAGACTTGTCAGCCCCCACCCGGGAACTGCATTGAGAACAGAATAAACACAAGCAGAGCCGGGCTGAATAATCAGAACATCTGTCTACCCAGCCTGTCACCCCATTGGCCAACCTCACACATCTGGGAGTCCCACAAATAGGGTCTGAAGGTGATGCCCCTCCCTGCTCATGTTCCCTAACAGGATACAGTGGCATCCTGAGTCTGGACCCGGACCAAAGCGGTGGGCAACCTTAAGCCCTCCCCCAAGTCCTACCATCCCAAACCAGAATGACTGACAGTATGGAATGAGGGGAGCTGGAAGCCCACTCTGACCTGGTGGGGCACAGATGCCCCAGCCCCTGTCTTAGCTACTAGCCCACAACGCATCTTGTGGCAGTGAGTTCCGTAAGTTAATCATGTGCTACGAGTTCTTCTGCCTGTCCTGAAGCTACCACAAAGTCAGTTTCACTGGTCTATCCCGAGTTTCTATTATTGTGTGAGAGAGAAACTTCCTCTCCCCAACCCATAATTCCGCAAACCTCGATCATGCCTCCTTGCTCATATCTTAAGTTGCCATTTTGCTCAGCTGAAAAGCCACAAATACCGCAGGCTTTTCTAAGAGGGAAGGGAGTTCAGATGAAGCAGTCAGTCTCACTCCCCAAATTATTTTGGCTGTCCTTTCTGTACGCCCCCCCCCCGCCCTACAGTACCATGTTTTTAAGATGTGGGGGGCAGAATTACATTATGTAGGATCAGAAAGCCCACGTGTAATTTGTAAAACGTATTCTGATGGCAAAAAAGAGGTTCTTAGCACACCAGATTTCTTTTTCCTTTCCTTTCCTTTCCTTTCCTCTTTTCTTTTCTTTTCTTTCTGAGCTTCTAGCATTGATACCACCTCAGACAAAATGTACAGGCGCTTTCCTCATTTTTTTAGTTATAGATCGGCCTACTCATTCCACCATCCCCTTTCAGTGTTTTTATTTTCCCACTGGGAGAACGTGCCCCTCACCCCAGGAAATATTCCTGTGGACGCCATGCTGGCAGCACACAGAATGTTACCCTGGACCTGTCGTGAAGGCCCATTTTCTGCAGGGAATGGGGGGGGGGGCGGTGATCCTGGAACGGGCTGTCCCCTCCCCTTGCTCCACTTGGCAGGTCAATATTCAAATTATATGTCACTTCCTCGTGTGGGAGGCCGACCTTCCCACAATTGCTAACACAACTGCAATGAGATGAAGGCGAAGAACCGCTAACTTATGAATAGGAGACGTATCGAAACAGTCGAGGACCTGCAGAAAGGGCCAGGAGGGTTGCCCTGAGATAATTGCCTCTTCTCAAGCGACGAGATTGTTGCGTTTGCAAAGTAAAGGAAGGATTGAACTCTGATTAATAAGAATACACACAGAGGCTTGAACCAGCAAGATATAATTGTGTCTCTCTGTGCATGTCTTGCATGTCTGTCCGATCTCCGCAGCCCCCAGCCCAGGCCGTTTTATTCACAAAAGAACTTTTTACAGAGTGTTCGTAAGAACCAATCATATTTCCTCTGAGCATTTCATCAAACCCCACGTGGGGAGAAAGTTAAACCACTAAAACTAAATTAAGCACAAATATTTCTGGGGTAAATAAGTTGAGAACTACAAAGGGGTGCATCTGGCAACCCTGGAGGTAATAAACAATCAATACATATGATAAGGAGGATGGCTAGGAGGACAACATTCACTATCGCCTTCATGTGAGATCGGTTTCCTGGCCCTAAGATTAACATCCTAAGATTAATATACATTAGAGAGCTACTTCAAATAAGCTTGCCCACAATCTTTATGGCCCAGGATGCCTGCCTGGCGAAGCAACTGCTGAGCTGCTGTGTACGTGACATGTGAGGGGAGAGAAATGGGCAGTAGAGTCTACATTCGTGCATGAAAAGGGCACGAATGTAGAATCTTATGGGATTTAATCAGAAATTATCGTCAATATATCAAACCCAGTCAACACAATGCTTTCATCGTGGACACGATGGCTTGATGTATATTTTATAATTCCTCATGGTAATCCCATCTGATCCCTACAGAGATGACAGCAGAGAACTGGGAAAGGTGGTGGCCTCTGATTTGCACATTGCAGAGCAAGTGGAAGGGGCAACCCATTCCAGGATCCCCTGCTACCTGCAGGAAAAGGATGGCACACAGGCCTAGCGGCTGCGGATGGCGGCAAGTGAGGGCGAGGGGGTGCAGGAGGCTTACCCTTAGCTGCCAAATTCAGGTGGTTTTTGATGCGCCGCTCCCTCTCTTCCAGCTGCTGAGCCATCTGTGCATTTTTCCAGCCTGGAAGGGGGGGGGCATGTGGAGACGCAAGTGAGTTAACCCCATAGGAGCTGGAGGCCTTTGAGAAGCCCTTATCCCCTCCCTCCCTCGCACCGCAGCAGCCTTCGGCCACCCTGCTCCTCCCAAGTCAGCTTTCTGTCTCTTTTTCTGTTTTTAAGTGAAAATAAAAAGCGGAAAAAAGGGTATACTATATCATTATAAGAGCTAACAATTACAATAATAATAATAATAATAAATTTTATTTATATCCCGCCCTCCCCAGCCGAGCCGGGCTCAGGGCGGCTAACAACAGTCAAATAACAATCAAATAATAGCACATTCTAAAAATATTTCGTTATAAAAATTAGTTAAAATCAAATTGATGGCAACCGATTAAACAAAATTCTGTGCAGGTTGCCGTAGGAGGGAGTCAGGCTGCGCCCTGACCAAAAGCTTGGCGGAACAACTCTGTCTTGCAGGCCCTGCGGAAAGATGTCAGATCCCGCAGGGCCCTAGTCTCGTGTGACAGAGCATTCCACCAGGTTGGAGCTGCAGCCGAGAAGGCCCTGGCTCTAGTTGAGGCCAGCCTAACCTCTCTGAGGCCTGGGACCTTGAGGGTGTTATTATTTGTAGACCGTAGGTTTCTCTGTGGGGCATACCAGGAGAGGCGGTCCCGTAGGTACGAGGGTCCTAGGCCGTATAGGGCTTTAAAGGTTAAAACCAGCACCTTAAACCTGATCCTGTACTCCACCGGGAGCCAGTGCAGCTGGTATAGCACCGGATGAATGTGATCCCGCAGCGAAGACCCCGTAAGGAGTCTCGCTGCGGCATTCTGCACCCGCTGGAGTTTCTGGGTCAGTCTCAAGGGCAGCCCCACGTAAAGCGAGTTACAATAATCCAGTCTGGAGGTGACCGTCGCATGGATCACAGTGGCTAGGTCAGGGCGAGAGAGATAAGGGGCCAACTGCTTAGCTTGGCGGAGATGGAAAAATGCCGCCTTTGTTATAGCTGTAATCTGCGCCTCCATAGAAAGGGAGGTATCGAAGATTACACCCAAACTCTTAACGGACGGTGCTGGCACTAATTGCACCCCCGCAAGAGATGGGAGTTGCCCCCTCGATCCCATATCGTCCCGCCCCAGCCAGAGGACCTCTGTCTTCGAAGGATTTAACTTCAACCGGCTCCCACGTAACCATCCAGCCACAGCTTCCAGACATCTGGTCAGTGTGTCTGGGGCCGAGTTAGGATGGCCATCCATCAACAGATAGAGTTGGGTGTCATCAGCATACTGGTGGCAACCCAGCCCAAAACTCCGGACAAGCTGGGCGAGGGGGCGCATAAAGATGTTAAAAAGCATCGGGGAGAGAATCGCACCCTGAGGCACTCCACACACCAAGGAGTGACGCGATGACAATTCCCCCCAAGCGCCACCCTCTGTCCCCGATCAGAGAGAAACGAGCGCAGCCATTGAAGGACTGTGCCCTGGATCCCCACGTCGGCAAGGCGGTGGTCCAGGAGTTCGTGATCCACCATGTCAAAGGCTGCTGACAGATCTAGGAGAATCAGCAGCCCCGACCCGCCTCGATCCAGCTGCCTGCGGAGATCATCTGTTAGGGCGACCAGAGCCGTCTCGGTCCCATGACCAGCGCGGAAGCCGGACTGGAATGGATCCAAAGCAGATGTTTCATCCAGAAACCTACCAAGCTGTTCAGCAACCGCTCTCTCAATCACCTTACCCAGGAATGGAAGATTCGAGACCGGGCGGTAATTGGATAGATCTAAGGGATCTAACGATGTTTTCTTTAAGAGCGGACGCACCACCGCCTCCTTCAATTCCCCTGGGAATGTCCCGGTGCCAAGGGACAAATTGATGATATCCCCCAGGGGGGCCCGCACCTCGTCTGGACACGCTCTAATCAGCCATGACGGGCACGGGTCAAGAGGACAGGTGGTGGGCTTTCCAGCTTGGAGGAATCTGTCCACATCGGCTGGAGATATCCGGTCAAAGTGGTCCAATACTGGACCCGAGGACAGTCGAGGGGCCTCCAGTTCCTTTATTGTATCCAAATTGGCAGGGAGGTCATGGCGGAGCAACAGGACCTTCTCCGCAAAAAAGCTCGCAAATGCCTCACAGCTGTGTGTCCGATTGTTATTTAAATTTGGCTGTCCTTCAAGGGACGTTAATGACCGGATTATACTAAATAATTGCGCCGGGCGAGAGCTAGCAGATGCAATGGAGGCCGAGAAGTAAGACTTCTTAGCGGCCTTCACTGCCATCTCATAGGTTTTCATAAAAACCCTATAAGATGTTCTTGAGGCTCCGTCACGGGCACCCCGCCATACTCGCTCTAGCCGTCTGAGGTCCCGCTTCATTTTCCGAAGCTCCTCGGTAAACCAGGGAGCCCGGTTTCTGCGGGGTCGCAGAGGGCGCTTAGGTGCGATCTCATCGATGGCTGCCAGGAGCTGGGTATTCCAGCCCTCAACAAGCTCAGTCAATGAGTCGCCAGGGGGAGCAAGGTCCCGCAAGGCTTGACGGAATCTATCAGGGTCCATCAGCCTCTGCGGGCGAGCCCAAATCGGCTCGCCACCTAAGCAGGGTGGGGGTGGAAAGTCAATCCTGGCTTTCAGAGCGTAGTGATCAGACCATGGCACCTTCATCGAGGGAGACATGATCACATCTATACCGGCGCCAAAGATCAAATCCAGCGTGTGGCCTGCTTGATGTGTGGGGCCCGAAACAAACTGGGAGAGCCCTAGTGTCAGTTACAGTTATCTGTATACTTATCTAGTATACAGTCGTGCCTTGGAAGTCGAATGGAATCCGTTCCAGAAGTGCGTTCGACTTCCAAAACATTCGGAAGCCAAAGCGCGGCGTCTGATTGGCTGCAGGAAGCTCCTGCAGCCAATCAGAAGCTGCAGAAGCCCCGTCCAAAAGTAGTTTGTATACCGAAACAGTCACTTCCGGGTTTGCGCCGTTTGGGAGCCAAAATGTTCAAGAACTAAGCTGTTTGAAAAGCAAGGTACGACTGTATAGGTATGATTACCATCCAAATCCATATATGTTTATTTTTAACCTACTACAGGGCAATGACCATTTATTTTTCCCAGTTATCAAACTCCGTATGTAGTTCAAAAAAACATTTTCCTCTGAAAATTTTAGTTTTTCCAGCACAGTCATATTGATGTAATCTGCTCCTTTCTCCCCAAACCTATTAACTGTAGGACGTTGTAAAAACGTGCATTTTAAAAAACAACACTATGCTTACTGCATCTCAAACAACGTGCTGCCTTAATCACCTTTCTTGAAGTTCTTTATGAAGCCTCCCTGAGCAGGCAGGATGCTAGGGTCGTGTTGCACCCGCTCGGGGATGCCAAGCCGGGCGCGAACTGCCGGCAACCGCAGAAAGGCCACTTGCACCAGCGAGAAGAGGTTGGATGTCAGCCAGTAGGTGAAAACAGCCTGCAGGGAGGGAAAGAGAGAGAATCAAAAACCCCTTTCCTTGGCCCACCCTGTTGCAACAGGACAGCTGCCCTGTGGCATGAGAGGTGCTGGAGAATTGGGGGTCAGCGGGGAGGAAGTGGGAACAGCAGCCCCACAGGAAAAGGCATTTTGGGTCCCCCTCCCGGTGATAAAAGTTCAGGAAAGTCCCCCACAGCTCCCATCTGCCCAAGCAAGCATAAGTAAAGGTAAAGGGACCCCTGACCCTTAGGTCCAGTCATGACCGACTCTGGGGTTGCAGCGCTCATCTTGCTTTATTGGCTGAGGGAGCCGGCGTACAGCTTCTGGGTCATGTGGCCAGCAAGACTAAGCCGCTCCTGGCGAATCAGAGCAGCGCACGGAAACGCCGTTTACCTTCCCACCGGAGTGGTACCTATTTATCTACTTGCACTTTGACGTGCTTTAGAACTGCCAGGTTGGCAGGAGCAGGGACCGAGCAACGGGAGCTCACCCCATCGCGGGGATTCGAACCGCCGACCTTCTGATCGGCAAGTCCTAGGCTCTGTGGTTTAACCCACAGTGCCACCTGCGTCCCGCCCAAGCAAGCATAGCTGATGGCATAGAATGATGGGAGTTGTAGTTCAGCAACATCTGGAGGACAGAGTACTCCCTGCAGGTTTCTGAATCAAACGGGGGCCAAGGCTGAGACAAAGGAACATGGGTTTGTGCAGGGCAAGTCAAAACTGGCCACAAGATGGTTTCGTAGGAAATACATAAAAAGCAATCGCAATCTGCCTGCGGTGGCGGCTCACCGTCGGGAAGGAGATCGTGAGAGGCAGGATAGCGAGCGGCATCACCCGGAAAACGGTTTTCATAAGGTGGAGGTTCGGGTTCGACACTCCGGATTCTGCTCCTAGCTGCAGAGAAGGTGGACACTGTTAACACTCCTGCCATTTCCCCCATTTTTCACTGCGTTGTCCTTTCCTACATGAGGTTTTCTGCCAAGCAGGAATTTTGAAATTTGTGGGGGTGGGGAAAATTTCTAGCGATGGACAAGATCCAAAGGTAGCCACAGCCTCGCGCCCTTGGCAGTGGACGCCTCCAACAACTGGCTTTAGGAGGTTGACTGCAGCCTGAATATCTAGGCCCCACCCCCCAATTTATTTTGGGATAAAGCAAATTCCGAACGTTCCGCTTTCTCCTCACGATCTCCTTTGGGTGGGACAATTTCAGAGTTTTAGGGACAGACCTGATCTATTCTCTTCTCACGCTAGCGTCAGTATTATTATTATTAATAATAATAATAATAATTTTAATTTATATACTGCCCTCCCCAGCCGAAGCCAGGCTCAGAGCGGCTAACAACAGTAAAAATAACACAGTTTACATCAGCAAGCCGTTTCCCCACAGGTTCTTGCATGAAGGAGTAGACTATAAGCTAAGGAATAATAAAAATAATATGCTGGCTAACTTTTCTGGGAAGCTGGCATCAGCTGTGGCTGTCCTCTGGGTGCTGATGCCGGGTCTGCCAGCAGGGCCCTCATTGCAATTACTATCTTGTAAACAACTGAAAATGGTCTTCGTCGCTACCCGTGTCTAATGCAGACCCATAATATTAGGGGCACCAAACCAATTCACACATCTGGTCCTGTCTAAGCTCTGTTTCAGAGTCCATGAGGCTTCTGGTCTCTTTATTTCCTATTTGTTTTGTGATATGCACACATCTCAAATTTCTTCATTGATCCACTAATTCAGTTGCCTTCCCCACACCTTCTGCCCCCACAGTGTAGGGGCTAGTACCCACAGAGAGGTTTGTTCTCCACAAACCTCTCTTAATCCCCCTATCATTGCCTCTTGCAGGATCCAATGCCTAACTAGGCACTGTGTGGAAAAAACACTTTCCTTTGTATAATAATAATAATAATAATAATAATAATAATAATAATAATAATAATTCATTTATATCCTGCCCATCTGACTGGGTTGCCTAAGCCGCTGTGGGCAGTTTCCAAGACATAAAAACATAATAAAACATCAAACAGTAACAGTAACAGTAACAATCTGATCCAATATAAAAGTCATAATAACTTTAAAATAAACCACTTATATCAAACAAAGCAAAATTCAACAATCTCATCAGAACCTAATAGTAAGCAGCAAAATTAAACATCAGCAAATTAATCAAACAGTTCAACCACAATAAAGAATTACCAACCTATAATCAATAAAAATAACAGCAAATCACAACGCATAAAATACCACGAAACCACACAAAAGGATCAGATTGAGAAACAACGAAGCACAACTTGTAAAGCAATTTTTTAAAAAATATATATCCCCGAACGCCTCATAGTCTGGGAAAGGCTGGGTGGGACAAGGCAGGCGGAAAAGCCATTGCCTGATGAGGAACAGAAAGTCTCTCTCCCCTCACAGTTCTTCCACTGGAGCAGCTCTCTTAGGAAGGCTTCCAGAATTAGAGGTTCAAATGTTCAGCTTTGTTGTATGCCCATGAATTCAAGCAGCATGGAGAGGGAGAAGAAGGGTCTCCCTAACTTACTTCCTCTACACCAGCGGTAGAGAACCTTATCGGCTCCATAGGCCAGATTCTTAACCCAGATTGGCCACATGAGCCAAATCTGACAGCGATGTGATGTTACATGTGGGCAGGCAGCTGCCTCTAGTCAAATTCCATTGTATCCATGAATGCAGTAACAAAAGGACCTCTGGAGGGACCCAAAGCCTTACTTCCAAGATGGCCCACATGGTGACGGTCACTGTCAGGGGCAAGACATAGTAGGGATCGGCAGCTGTGAGATCTGAGAACCACCACAGACCCCCAGTTTGAAGGCTGGGCACAGGGAGCTCCGCCATTTTGCGCAGGGCAATGAAGAACGAGATGAAAATGGGTGCCTGAGAGAAAGGGAGAGAGGATGAGTGTGAGAAGGGGAGGAAGCAGAACTGGGAGTAATAGTCATATACCACACACACAATTTAAATATTTATATTTATTGACGCTTTCATGGTCCCTCCCCCCCATAATTTCTATTTGCGTCGCACGAATCGCTTCAGGGCACCCCGGTGTAAAAAGTGCCAAATAAATACAGTGAGTTATAAATAAACGAACAACACAGACGTGAAATTTGGGGTGGGAAGCTTCTTTCAACTGATTTTCGTATCTGGTAGCTTGCATTAATTGCTGTGACTTGCCCTAAAGCCTACAGGGAAAGGGCAGGATGTAAGTTCGTAAAAATAGAACAAAAACAAGCCAGCCTAGCAGTGGGGCACAGACTCACTTGGACTAGGGGAACAAGAAATCCTCGTAGCGGGTTGACATCGTGGGTTTTCTGGTAGAGGTTCAGGTCCGTATAAGCTTTGGCAACTGTGGGAGAAAAGCGGAATGATTTGCAGGGAAGGCAAAGGAGATTATCTCCCACAATCTCCTTCTACAAGCCCTTGCCCTCCCCTACAGATCAGGTCCCACCTACTGACATAATGCGGGCAACCCTATTCCTTGAGAGCTCCACTCCCCAGCCCTGTCCACTCCTCAGCCCTGTCTCTTCCTAGCAACCCAAGCACCACCTCCTTGATTCATTCAACGTGGTCCCTTCCAATGTGGTTTGTTTGCAACCCCAGCTCTGCCCCCTTTCCCCAGAGCCCTGCACGTTGCCCCATACTCACACTCAAATTTGTTCCCCGAGCGCTTGGCTTCGTTCATGCGGGTGGTCAGCTCTGAAATCTGCGGCATGTGGTTGTTGAGCTTCACTGCCTCCCTCTGGCCCTTCACGATGAGTGGGAAAACCAAGCAACGGGCCACAATCGTCCCTGAGGAGTTTGGTGTGGGAGAGGAGGACACCCGTTACTCTCAAGTGCAATGGCTGCAATGTTACCCACAATGCAATGCCAGAAATCACTACCTTACCCAGAATGCACCTGGGTACTTCTGTCTGGGCTGATCGCTGAAGAATGGATGCTTTTGAATTCTGGTGCTGGAGGAGACTCTTGAGAGTCCCATGGACTGCAAGAAGATCAAACCTATCCATTCTGAAGGACATCAGCCCTGAGTGCTCACTGGAAGGACGGATCCTGAAGCTGAGGCTCCAAGACTTTGGCCACCTCATGAGAAGAGAAGACTCCCTGGAAAAGACCCTGATGTTGGGAAAGATGGAGGGCACAAGGAGAAGGGGACAGCAGAGGACGAGATGGTTGGACAGTGTTCTCGAGCTTGTTTGGAGGTTCTAGCAGGGGAGCTCAGCTATCGTATACCCTTGACCGAAGAATGGTATACTCCTTCTATCTGGAATGGTCGTCCTCTTCCACCGAGCGCGCAGCTTCGGGAGAGACGCACATGGAGCGGTGAGGGAGGAAGGGGACACCCGCCTAGCCAGCCAGATCAGCCGAATCAACCCTGGCGATCAATGGGGTGACAGATGTCGCAGCCAGATCACCCTCACATCCTGGTTGGACAGTGTTCTTGAAGCTACCAGCATGAGTTTGACCAAACTGCGGGAGGCAGTGGAAGACAGGAGTGCCTGGCGTGCTCTGGTCCAGGGGTCACGAAGAGTCAGACACGACTAAACGACAACAACAACAACAACTTCTGTTTGGAGGCTTGTGCAAAAAGGGTAGGCGGGCAAACTTCTCCTGCAGAGGCTGAAGGCATCATTTACCCAGAAGGCAGTAGTGGTGATCATTAGGGGAACCACACATTTTGGTTACTAGCCTGCCTTATTAAACCCAGAGGTTTTCTACATTACATCTCTCCAAGCGAGCTAGAGGACACATTCCAGTCAAGCCAAAGAACGAGAGAAGATGTAGAGCAGGGCAGGTGAGGGTGTGCGGGCTTTGGGGAAGGAGTTCTGAGGGGTGCAGAGAGAAGCCTGGAAAGCTGAATTTGGCCCCAGTGCCCAAAGTTCAGCTGCGGTCTCCGTCTCAGAGAACGGGCTGCACATTTCCTGCTGTGCTCCTTCTCTGTGGGGCCGAGTCACAGCGGGGAAAGAGCAGAGGTGGCTTAGCTCTGCATCTGGCTATTTGTCTATCCAGCCCAATACGGTGGAACCTCGGCTCCCGAACGCCTTGGGAGCCAGAACGTTCTGATTCCCGAACGATTGAAAACTGGAAGTGATTGTTCTGGTTTACGAACGTTCTTTGGAAGCTGAATGTCTGGCGTGACTTCCGATTGGCTGCAGGAAGCTCTTGCAGCCAATTGGAAGCTGCGCCTTGTTTCCAGAACTGTTTAGGGAGTTGAATGGACTCCCAGAACGGATTAAGTTTGAGAACCAAGGTTCCACTGTAAAGCAGCTCCCCAGGATCTTTGGCAGAGATGCTTCTCTCTCATCAGCACCAGTGACCTCGTCGTTTTAACAAGAGATGCTCTACGCTAGGGAACTGAGCTTGAGGTACAAAGTTTGTGTTTGGGGTGTGTGTATATCGCCTCATGTCTCTCTCTGCGCTGTGCACAATTTTTGGCAAGAGCATGTAACCCGCCAAGTGCTAAGCTCAGACTCTATTGCCAAGCTCTGGCCCCCCCCAGCAGCAGCGTCCCCCAAGCCACGGAGCCAAAGTGCCCACTCTGATGATGCTCTCTGCCAGCCCAAATCTCCACCCGCTTCCTCAATACAGCAGGCCCCTTCACCTGCCATGATGGCTCCCCACCACGGCAGCCCTATATCCACGTGGAGGGACTCCAAGAAGCTCTGGATCAGACCCACCGGGGTGTGGGACCCCAGGCCCAGCTCTGCAAAACTCTGCTCTTGGACAGCCTGGGCAAGGTCCCCTGCAGAGAGAGCGCCCTCTAGTGGCGGGGAGGATACAGGCTGAAGAACCTGAAGAAGGAAGAGGCAGGAAAATAAGTTAGCACTGATTAATCTGAACGCTCTCAGCCCCCAACTGCTAGGTTCTCTTCGCTACCTTCATCTGCAACCCTCCACCGTCACCTTCCAAATTTCACAACCATGCTGCTCTTACCTGTGTGCCAGCAGCAGCTGCTGTGCTTTGACATCTGTTTGTCGGCCTCAACAGGAGAACGTGGCAGCCGTTTTGAGGACGCGGGTGAGGGGCAAAAGGAGATTTAACTCTGAGCCACGTGAATGGGACAGACGTTCTGTGGATCTGGAAGGCAAGTTTTGAGAATCAGCATTCTGACAATGGCACTTGCTAGGAAGACGACTACCGCATTTTTCGCTCTATAGGACGCACTTTTCCCCTCCAAAAATTAAGGGGAAATGTGTGTGCATCCTATAGAGCGAATGCAGGCTGTGCCGCTAAGCCCAAAGGCAGAACAGGGAGACGGAGCGCTGCAGAGCACTCCGTCTCGCTCTTCTAGCTTGGGGACGGCTGCGCGCAAAGCCTCTCCAGGGCAGTGGGGTGCCTTCACCCCGCTCTCCTGCAGAGGCTAGCAAGGCTGTTCCCAAGCCAGAACAGTGAGATGGAGGGCTCTGTCTTGCTCTTCTAGCTTGGGGATGGCTGCGCGCAAAGCCTCTGCAGGGCAGCGGGGCGCTGCGCTCCAAAGGCTTCAGGGATCTTTGAGGCTGGCGGTGGGGGGAAGCAGCGCTTTTTTTGTGGAGGAACCCTTTAAATTTACAGGGAATCAAAATTCAGTTGTAAAACCATTTTCTCTCTTGTGCAAGTTTTAGGGAGCAGGATGTATTCATAGTTGAAAGTTAAAAAATTATTTTGGGTTGGGTGGAGAGTGGGGCAACTTTGGGCAACCAGTCTCTCATTCTAACCTACTTCACAGGGTTGTTGAGAATAAACTGGGGAACATGGGAGAAGCAAGTATGCCACTGTGAGCATTTAATATGTATGTTTATATACATATATTAATAATCTATTAATTCTGGACATAGTTTAGAAAGCAATAAAACACAATAGGGCAGAAAGGGTGAATCATATTTTGATGGACAGCAGATGTAAATAATATACATAATATAGATAAACAAACCCAGGTGCTTACAAAGCTGAAGCACTTTTAATTCCTCCCCCCAGCATTTTAACTTTTGTATGTTTTATAGCACAGTTGTACATTTGTAAACTGCTTTGAGGTTTTCTTTTTTACAATCAAGTGGTTGTGTAGGTTTTACGAAACAAAATACTAGTGTGTCTTTCGATTCATAGAAGCTGGGGCACCTTAAGCAGTCCTGTTGCCTCTCGGTGCCTATAATTCTTTGCCTAACCATGGCTTCTACTTGGCCCAAGCCCGACTTAGAAGGGCTTGAGGGGCAAAACCCAGTTTCTGAAGAGTGTTCAGGACTGCTGTCTGCCAGCCTGACTGGAACTGGTCGCAAAGGATCAGTGGGGCTATTCCTCAGGGGAGCAGTTTCAGTGACAGCCATTCAAAGACTGATGTTAGGTTGATGTGAGTATATTCACTGAGATCTCTCCAAGCTGCCCTGAAGGCTTTTGGCTTTGTCCTCCTAGCAGCCAAAGACTCTTTACACCCCAGCTGGACTTAACACCTGCCTCTCTCTCAACCTCGGGTCCCCAGGTGTTGTGGGACTACAATTCCCACCATCCCTGACTCGCTAGGGGTGATGGGAGTTGTAGTCCACCAACATCCGGGGACCCAAGGAAGGCCTCAATCCCCCCTCCCACCCCCAGAAAAGGTCTTTCAACAGCTGCGCCGCAGAACGCTCCCCCTCCAAGGAAACTGCACCAAGCTGCTAGTCCCTGGGGTTCCGGCCCGCAAGGTCATGACCCCGAGGCCAGGGCAGCGCCGCAGAGGCGTAGCGCCCGCTTCCCTGCATCACCCACCCACCTGCCTACGGAGGCTCCCCGCGAGGGGCATCTTCCCCGGCAGCCCAGACCGGCTCCACGCTCTCCCGAACGCCGCTGCGGAAGCCGCCATCGCTCCTCGGCCCCACCCCCGGTCGCGTCACGCGCAGCTCTCGCGAGGACTGAGGGGTCGGACGCGTGACGCCCGCGCAAGGCTGCCATCTTTGTTAAGGGCAAACAAAAACCCTTCGACTTAGCGCGAAGGATCGACATCTTGAGTGAGGGCAACTCTCCTTTCGAGACCCTGAAGTTCCTTTTTTTTTTTGTTTCGGGCGCAGGCGTGTGTGGGGGAAAGGCATGTAACCGCTGAAAGGGAGGCGCCAGTCGATTCTTTTCCCGGCTATGTTAAAAAAAAGGGGGAGTAGAGCAAAGTGGGCTGGGGCCATGTTTAAAAATAGTGATGCTGTTCTTCAATTTAGCAGTGGGAAAGTGGCGGGGTTGCGGATGCGGCCATGTTGGTTCCGGGTAATATAGAAAAAGCGGAAGCGCGGCCATGTTTGTTATGGGCGATATGGGAAAAGCGGAAGCGTGGCCATGTTGGTTATGGGCGGTATGGGAAGAGAGGAAGCGCGGCCATGTTGGTTATGGGCACTGTGGGAAAAGAGGAAGCGCGGCCATGTTGGTTATGGGCGATGTGGGAAGAGAGGAAGCGAAGCGCGGCCATGTTGGTTATGGGCGATGTGGGAAAAGAGGAAGCGCGGCCATGTTGGTTATGGGCGATATGGGAAAAGAGGAAGCGCGGCCATGCTTACTTTGGGCAGTGGCGTCTTTTATCGCAGAGAACCGTTTTGGGAGATTTTTTTTTAAAAAAACTATCTTCGCTGATTGGTACAGAGCTTGGTCCAGTTTAGCATGCGTTTAATTTTACTTTATTTTCACAATAATTCCATAACGCTTAATTTAAATACGCGCGCACACATTTAAGCAGTTTACAAAACACTATTCAATTCAAATACCAATAAGAAAGTTAAAAACAAGTTGACGTCAAACTGATCAAAATAGAAATAAAACCTGCACTCTCAAAAGAAATACATTTCATAAAACCTCATGTTAAATTTACGTTTTACAAAATCACACTGTTGTTATTATTATGATTACAGTGGTGCCTCGCAAGACGAAATTAATTCGTTCCGCAAGTTTTTTCTTCTTGCGAGTTTTTCGTCTTGCGAAGCACGGTTTCCCATAGGAATGCATTGAAAATCAATTAATGCGTTCCTAGGGAAACCGACTTCAGACCAGGTCCGGGGACAGTCTGTCCCCCGACCTCTTCTGAAGGCTGGGGGGGGGGGAACAAGGGCTTTTCTTCCCACCCCCAGCATTTTAAAAAACCCCGGGACAGCGGAGGGCTTCTCCGCTGTCTGGGGCGATCTTAAAATGCTGGCGGGCGGCATTTTAAAATCGCCCCGGACAGCGGAGGACTTCTCCGCTGTCGGGGCGATTTAAAAGCCCCTGGGAAGGCAGGCAGGGGGGACAAAGACTTTTGCCCCCCGCCAGCCTTCAGAAGAGGTCCTGGACCTCTTCTGAAGGCTGGCGGGGCGAAAGTCTTTGCTCCCCCCGCCTGCCTTCAAAAGCTGTCCGGCCCAGGCTTCCCGGACCTTTCCGCCAGCAGCGGCAGCGCTGCCGCTGCTGGCGGAGACTTGCCGGCATGCGAAGCCTGCGCGCAGCGCGCCCAGGCTTCACAGACCTCTCCGCCAGCAGAGGCAGCGCTGCCGCTGCTGGCGGAGACTTGCCGGCATGCCGAAGCCTGCGCGCGCTGACATCAGCGCGCCCAGGCTTCGCGGATCTCTCCTGCCTTCAAAAGCCGTCCGGGATAGCGGGAAGCGCTTCCCTGCTATCCCGGACTGCTTTTAAAATGCTGGCGCTGGGGAGCAAAGCCTTTCGGCCCCCGCCAGCCTTCCTGGACCTCTTCTGAAGGCCGGAGGGGGGGAAAGGCTTTGCTCCCCACCGCTAGCATTTAAAAGAGGAGATTTCCCTATGGGCTTTCGTCTTGCGAAGCAAGCCCATAGGGAAATTCGTTTTGCGAAGCGCCTCCAAAACGGAAAACCCTTTCGTCTAGCGGGTTTTCCGTCTTGCGAGGCGTTCGTCTTGCGGGGTACCACTGTATTATTATCATCTCAATTTATTGCCCACTGTAATACCAGGTCCGATGATGATTTCACATGGGTGCTCTGGAAAAGACCTCATACTGTATTTGCTAATAGCATTATTTGTTAACAGCAGTGCTGAGCTGGAACAAATTCCATTGAGGAACCGGGTGCATTCATCAGAAAGCCCACAGGAGGGCAGCAGAGAGCAAGGTGTGGAGGAGCCCCTTTGCTCTTGACACTTTTATCCAGTTTTCTAAAACCTTGTTGTCCTCTTCACATTCTGCAGAGATGGGAAAAGATGGACATAGAAAAACACTCCCTCTTTTAGACTTAGGGACCTGACATCCAAGTCCCGGGGGCCCCACAGCAGAATTAAAGCTGCCCTTTTTTCTTGTTCCCTTTAAAAACAATCTCACCCTCTTCTTCTTTAGTTATATACACAACCCCCCTTTTTCTTATTAATACATTATGAATCATTATGCATCCATTTTTTATTCACTTCTTACTCATTTTTCATTATTATTATTATTACCCATTTATTCACTTAATCTTTTTAAAAATTCTCATTAAAGAATCTTATTTTACTTTACTTCTTTTTTCTTTGCCCATTTCATCCCTATTTTATCTTTTAGATCTGACAACTTCAACATTTTGAATTTTTGATTTTTTTTGCTTTTTTTTTAGTATCTACTTCTCTATCCCCTCCTTCCCCATTTTTTCCTATTTACTTACTATTATGGTTTCCCCCCTTGTCTTTTCTGAACAAACAAACAAACAAACAAACAAACAAACAAGAATACTAAACAGTATATTTATATGCATATAGGAGGGTGGGTTATTGGGTTGTTTTTATTTTTATTTTATATTTTATGGTTTTATATTTTGATTTTGTACTGTGACAACTGCCCTGAGACCTCTGGGTATAGGGCGGTATATAAATTCTAATTCTAATTCTAATAATAATAATAATAATAATAATAATAATAATAATAATAATAATAATAATAATTTATTCCCCCACCAATTTTCAAAAGGACTTTCCCCTCTTTCTCCTTCTCTCTTTTCTTTTTCTTTCCCTTTTCTTTTCTGTCTTGTCTTTTATCCTACACTCTAACTTGAATCACTGCCACAACTTTTGATTTTTAAATATAATTACATTAGCCTTTAATTTTTCTTAACTCTTATCTGTGAACTCCCAACCCCATCTCCCACCCTTAACTTGACCCCACCCCCTCATGTGTGTGCATGGATGTGTGTGTACAAGTCAGTCTATCTGTAAAAAGCCTCCTACTGCCCTCATGTGGACTTAACCACTTACTACAAGTGTCTTAAAAAGCGGGTGGTGCTGTAAACCACTGAGCCTAGGGCTTGCTGATTGGAAGGTCGGTGGTTTGAATCCCCGCTACGGGGTGAGCTCCTGTTGCTCGGTCCCTGCTCCTGCCAACCTAGCAGCTCGAAAGCACGTCAAAGTGCAAGTAGATAAATAGGTACCGCTCCGGCGGGAAGGTAAACTGCGTTTCCGTGCACTGCTCTGGTTCGCCAGAAGCGGCTTCTTCATGCTGGCCACATGACCAGGAAGATGTATGCCAGCTCCCTCGGCCAATAAAGCAAGACGAGCACTGCAACCCCTGAGTCGTCGTGACTGGACCTAATGGTCAGGGGTCTCTTTACCTTTACCTTTACAAGTGTCTTAACATCAAACCATGTTAATTTACATCCCAGGTTGTTGCACTCAGGTAGTGCTTGTGGGGCATTTGGTTGGCCACGTGGAGAACAGGTTGTTATACCAAATGGGCCTGATTCAGCTCCCACCATTTTCTTAAGTCCTCTTTCTCTATATTGAAGACTCATGGAATGATAGAACGATGGAGTTGGAAGGGACCCGGGGGTCATCTAGTCCAACCCCCTGCTACGCAGACATCTCAGCTAAATTGCTGAAAAAAATTGTGGCAAATAGTTCCACTTTTTTGCTGGTTTTTTTGCCAGTTCCAGGGACACTGGAAGGTGTGCTATAGCTTACCCACTGTAGCACAATTTAACTTCTTAAAAAAGGAACGAAATAGACTTTTCTATTTTTGTGTGTGATGTCCTTCAGAGAGAGGCCACACCTGCATATCAGAAACTGCTCTCAGTTTCCTATCTTGAACCAATATGCTTATGTCCCAATGTCAGGGAACTGCCATCAACTCACGAGGCGAGAGATGGAAGGGCAGTTGTGTTATAGGGAGCATTTGAAAATATTGCGAAGCAGTTCTTCCTCCGGCGAGGAGGAAAGCCCCACCTCCAGTGCAGAAGAGGTGCAGGGACCAGGGAATGCTAGGGAAAGCCTCAACACTGAGCCTGAGCAAACCAGAGAGGCGGGAAGAACGCCCCTGCCAGCGCCCATTCTGCGCAGTAGGCTTCGGCGCAGGGAAGGGTGGAAAAGGTTGGGTGAAATATACTCGGAGTCGAGTGTGGATTTCATGCTCTTTATTCAGCTCATAGTAGTGAGGAATGAAAGTTTTCCCAAAATATCTGCTTTATATACATTATTTACACAATGGGCCGCACGTGATTGGCTAATTCTGGGATTCTCCTGTAGGCCAATCAGGTTGCGGATTCACTTCCACCTGGAGCTGGATTGGGTGGCTCCTGCGGACCAATCATACTGCTGCATTGTTCTAGGACCAATCAGATTGCTGCCTTTTGAATCCTATTGAACTCAGTACATAACATTGGGAGTGACGTGACTTTTATGCTGGGGGAGGTACAAAGACCAACCACTCCCAGATTCTGCTAGCGATTGAGCCAGACATGAATTTACGACGCTCTTCACTGTACATAGTTTGCACCAAGAATAAAGCCTGGAAAAGACAGGTCAGAGTCTTGTCTGTTTACTCTCGAGCAACCACACCAGCATCAGACACCCATGATATAGAAAGAAACATGGAATGGGCCTGACTTAATTCATTAATTAATCTCAATTCATTAATTAACCCCCTTTTATAGATTACCGGTAGTTAAATGAATGGCGTTCACAGCAAATGCTGCTTTCTCAGATATGAACCAGACACATCCTTGTATTAGTTTAGGTTTTGATAACAACTTTTACCCAGATACGTTTTTTTTTTATATTTGATGTTTGTTTATATTTGACGTAGTTTCATTTTGCTTTGATGGCAGTAGGCTATCCTGAATCAAAATTATAGGAGAAGTTGATTTAGCCCATGATTTATCAAATGAATTTATGTCGTGGCCTGACGCAGATTGTGGCATTGGACTAAAGGGAGGCCCTCAAGGGGCTTGTGGGTGTTGATGGGAAACTGTGCTAGAGACAGATAAAGCAAAAGTCTTAAGTAATGTTACAGAAGCCTCTTTGCTCTTTTCATCACCAGACACTAAAAGGAGAGCTGAGTATGAGCATGTTGTATGGAGGGAAGATACTGTGAAGCATATGACAGGATATTGGACTTGAGCCCGGTGGAATGTGACCCAGATTCAAATATGAACAGTGGCTGTTCTAAGGATTACATGGGATGGCCACATATACAGTGGTACCTCAGGATGCGAACGGGATCCATTCCGGAGCCCCGTTCACATCCTGAGCAGAACGCAACCCACGTTTGCGCGTGCACGGGTTGTGATTCGCTGCTACTGCGCATGATGTCATTTGAGCGTCTGCGCATGCGTGAGTGGCGAAACCTGGAAGTAGCCCGTTCCGTTACTTCCGGGTTGCCGTGGAACACAACCTGAAGCATATTGAACCTGAGGTATGACTGTATACAGAACTCAGAATTCTGATGGACAACAATTGGTATTGGTGTGTTCAAGTTGTTGCAAAGGTTGGGTTTCAAAAACAATATTGGCTTAAAACCTCCCGTATCTTATAGCGTAACCTCTGCACAGTTGCCCCTGAATTAGCTATTTGTTGTTGTAGTCATGTCCAACTCTTCGTGACCCCATGGACCAGAGCACGCCAGGCACTCCTGTCTTCCACTGCCTCCCGCAGTTTGGTCAAACTCATATTGGTAGCTTTGAGAACACCTTAAATTAGCTATTAGGGAGGTCTTGAAATATGTGGACTGGGCCACCAGGGCAAGTGTCTGAACCTTCATCTGATAGGAAATGTTTTGCAGGAGTGGGCAACAGATAAAAAAATGTGACATTGAGGAGGATCGTATGGCGGAGGGAGTGAGAGTGAGAAATGTCCTTATTGTCAGATGAGGAATGTTGGAGAGTATGCATACAGTGTACTCTGCCTCCCCATTTTATCCTCAAAAAACCCTGGTGAGGTGGGTTATGTGGATAGACAGCAACTAGCCAAAAGCATTCTAGTGAACTTCATGGTTATGTGCTAAACACACTTTACTTCTACAGTAATCAAACTTCAACACGATTTTGCAGGGAGATTAATCCGTTCCCCACTTCTTTCCAGAACCCACCCACCACCTCAATCAAGTGATCATGAGATTTCTGTGAGTTTGCTCACTTTTATTCAGCCTTAGGCTACATACTTACATGGATATTATTGAATCTGGGATAGGCTGAAGAGGGAAAACTGAGGTTGTGATGCTGAGGAAGGGGTGTGCATCACTTTTCACCCTGGGATTTCTCCTCCGGCCTCTGGGTGGGCTCCACGGTGTCTGCTGTGCGGGTAAACGTACAGGAGTATGAAGTGCCGTTGTTCCAGTCAGAGTAGGGGATTACCACCTGGCTGAAGGCCAAGAGGGAATCCTTGATGCTGCCCTTCAAGGCTTGGGGATTCACATGGCGGCCTTCAAGGAGGGCATTCTTCACCCACTGGACAGAAACTTCACTTGCATTGAGCCCTATGACCATGCCGGTGAGGATTGTCTGTGCTCGCTGAAGGCTGCTTTCTTTACGGTTGGCGCGATAGAGGTTCTCATGGAGACCGTTCCCTTTGCCTTTTTAAGTTTTGGGGTGGGGAAAGTATGAGGGAGAGGCAACAGCTATTAATTTTAGACATAATTGATGGACAACATTTATGACACCATTTAGTGCTGATTATTTTCTGCTGGATTCTCTGACGAACATTTTTAATCTGTAGATAGAGGGGTGTAAATCCTTAGTGAAAGCTTTAAGGAGCAAAGGGGATTTAACTGAAGTTCTTGTGTGTGTGGACCTGAGTAGGAAGATCTGTGGCACATATATATGGGGCTTCCTTGAGCTGAATGAGGACACGGTGGGATAGTGGAGATTCCAGGAATATTTACGCAGCTCCTTCCCCCAACATATATAAAGAAAGCGCCCAGCACCAAAAGCACCCCAGCCTTCCCAGAGAAGGTATTGGTGTATAGGCTGGGTTTGAAAACCAAGAATAGCTAAAAACGTCCCATATCCAATGATACCATCTCTGCACAGTTGCTCCTGGAAACAATCATCCCGCTCCCAAACCATGCTTTTCAAAGGAATACTAAGTCCCAACTGTGTCAAGAGTTTTTACCTTCAGGTTCTTTGACTTTTGTTTCAGACTCAGGGAGGGATACTCGACAGACGAAGAGGTCACCCTCCGAATCGCCTAGTGGTTTAAGGCTGAAGTGTGCTGTGTTACCAGTGCTTGCACTTATGATGCCGGAGGTGTTATCTGATTGGCCACCTGCCTCCCACGTAATCGTCATGCCTACGGGGACAAAGTCATTGACAGTGCACACCAATATTGCACCTAAGGGAACAAAATAGATAGACAGACAGATGAAATTCCTGGTTTTTTAATGACTTTATATTACTGTTTTTATGGTTTTTCTGATATTGCTTTACAGTTTTTATGTTGCTTAGTGCACTATTTAAGATGTAAGCAGCTTAGAAACCTCTACTTTTCATCTCTGTGCTTCCAGTCTTGCTTTTGTCTGCCCTTTGTTCTTCTCTACACCCTGTGATTTTCCTTCTCTCTGACCCTCTTTCCCATGCATATTCTCTTTTCGTGGAATCATAGAATTCCAGAATTGGAAGGGACCCCAATGCTCATCTAGTCCAACCCCCTGTAATGTTGCTTACTTACTTCATCAAAACTTTCTAGGCATTACAAATATAGGGCATCCTAAAACATTTAACATATATACAAATAAACAGCCATGTAAAATATATAATGATGAGGAATTTCATTGGGATTCCTTCCTGCTAAATAGTGCCATTTAGCACTCCAAGAGATACTATTAACAAAACCTCAGCCCCCCTTGCAGTTAATTCCGGGTTAATCGGAAATTTTCATTGTGCCGTGATGTTAGACTACCCCAAAAAGGGGGGCAGCATGTGTTTGCGTAGCAGGTTGTAAAATGGACAGTAGAAAAGGATATGTTCTACAGTATTTGGCACATTCAAAGAACATCCACAATGTCTATCATTTCTGGGGATGTTTAAAAATCTGCCCTTGACAAAAGCTGAAGGAAAAACATTCAGTCGGGCTACGATAAAGGTCCTGAGTTGTACAGAAATTATTATTTTCGAGATATGTGACCCTGTTATCTTGGGGGAGCAAATTTTATTTACACCTGACTTGATGTTGTCCATCCCCCCCAATGTACCTTAATCTGTTTTGACTATTGCAATAAATATTGCTCTCTCGAATTATACAAGGGTTTCAAGATCTGATTTGAATACCAATAGATCTGATATTCCTATGTAAGAGTTGGAACTTCTGGATTCATCAGAGTCCGTAAGTAGGTCAGAGAGTAGACTCAAAGGTTGGCAACAAAATGGAAATGCAACCAGCATTTTATAGTGCTAGCCCACACCCAATATTCCATCGTGTGTATTCCTAGTTCTGCACACATTGTCTCATACATGATTGAACTTGGGAGCCCCAGGAGACGTCTCAAGACGGATGTGAGGGTGATCCGACTGAGACATCTGTCACCCCATTGATCGCCAGGGGTGATCTGGCTGACCTGGCTAGCTAGGCAGGTGTCCCCCTGTTTCATGTGCGTCCCTCCCTAAGCTGCACGTTCGGTGGAAGAGGAAGACTATCCCATGTAGAAGGAGTGTACTGTTCCTCGGTCAAGGCTTGATGATAGCTGTGCTCCCTGTATAGATAGAACCTCTCTGATAGAACCTCCCCCTTTAATGCAGGAATCTCAGCTAAATTATTCCAGCTACATAGTTTGTGAGAGCCCTGCCTTCTTTGCCCCTATCAAAAGAATGTCTCTGCTGTCCCCTAAACCTACAAAGATCTCAGCACACAGAAACAGGCACTTACAAACGTTAATAAAAGGGTATTTGTTTTGGAACCGTGGGATCTGTCCCTTTGGAATGACTATCCCGTTTACTGCTGGCAAATAAGCAGAAAAGTTGGAGTAAGAGAATCCAAGGGTTGTTATTGCTCTGTTTCTAAGGGGGGTTCCAGATGCCCAGATTTCAGGTAGATTCATGAGAAGGCTGCAAAGAGGAAGGAAAGAGAAGCAAACTCACCTGGATCAGCCTGGGAAGAAGTCAGTGGCAGGCTGGCCCCGCAAAGGAGTCCCACAAATGGTAAGAAGATCTTGGCCCACATTTTAGGATTCAGTGTGAATGGCATGTGGGCCACCAGGCCTTCTTATATAGCATCCTGGGAGACTTTGGTAATATATGTTTTCCATCAGTAGCTCCACCCAGACAATCCAAGAAAGTCCTCCCAGAAACTTGAGTGTAATTGGGATTATGTAATTGGGTGGCGATGTTTCTATTTTGCTTAATGTATGTAGGGTTTCGTATCAGCATTACTCGTGCCGGTTCTCTGCTGTTCATTTGTGTTTCTTTGGTAGTGAGAGAGATTGGGGTTGGCCTATGGTGTCGTTGCTTGTTTGTGATTGGCTGTAGTGATCTTTGTTTTCGTGTGTGAGTGGGGTGTGTGTGTGTGTGTTTTGGATCAGGTTAGCCATACTGATTTGTATGCTGTTGGTGGGTTATTGTCATTGTCTTGTTGGGCTGTGTACGTGATAAAGGGGAGCCATACCTGGATAAAGGCGTCTTCTTCTGTTTGTCCCCGTGTCAGTTTCAGTTTATTGGTTAATTTTTCTAGTAAGGCTGTTTCCCAGACTATTTGGTACCATTGGTCCATGCTTACTCCTGACAGGTCTCTCCAGTGTCTGGTTATGGTGTTTCTGGCTGCTGAAAGTAGGTGGGTTGTGAGTTCTCTGTGGTGTAAATGGGCATTGTTGTCTTGGAAGATGTTTAGTAGGGCCAGTTCTGGGGTGGTGTCTAATACTTGCTTAGTTATTTTACATATTTCTTGTATGGCTGTTGTCCAGAATAGTTGGATTTTGGGGCACTCCCACCACATGTGGAGGTATGTGCCTGTGGAGGTGCACCCTCTCCAGCATTTTGGTGAGATTCCTGGGCGTATTAGCGCTAGTTTTCTTGGTGTTAGGCACCACCTGTAGGTGAGTTTCAGAGTGAGTTCTTTTCTTTTTGTTGATACGGATTTAAAGGGGGGTTTAGACCACATTCTGGTCCATTGAGTGGGGTTAATCTCATAGCCTATGTCATTCTCCCATTGTTTTTTGATTGCGTCTAGGGGGTTTGTGTGATTTTGGAGTAGTATTTTGTATATTGCGGATACCATCCCTTTACCGTTTCCCTTTGTTGTTAGGAGGAGGTTTTCGAAGGTTGTCAGGGGCCTAGTTGCTGCTGATTTTACTGCTGGGTTGTTCAAGAGGGCGTGTAGTTGTTGTTGTGCTAACCAGGGCATTTCGGTGTCTTCTAGTTTGTCTTGTATTTCTTCTGTTGACAAAGGTTTGTTATTTTTATAAAAGTCTATTAGGCGATATAAACCTTTGGTTTGCCAGGGTTTTATCTGGAGGTTTTGTGCTGCATGGTGGAATAATGGGTGGTATGCCAGGGGATTAGTGGGGATGGGGTTGGGGATAGTTTGCCTATTTCTGTTTTTTATGTGAGAAGATAAAAGAGTGTAGTTTTCTCTGCCAACTGCGGAGTTGGGTTGGGGGGATCCGGATTGGGAGGGTTTGGAATAGGTAGGTTAGTTTTGGGAGGGTGATCATTTTGATCATGGCTATTTTGTCTGAGAGAGTGAAATTCATGTTGTTCCATCTCTTTAGGTCTTTGTTAATTTGTCGCCCTAGGGTCTTGTAGTTGTGGAGGTACAATTTATTGATGTTTCTGGTTATTTGTACCCCTAGGTATCCGAACTTGGTGTGGCAAAGTTTTATTTTGGTGACCTTTGTGAGTTCATTTTGGGTGTGAGGAGGGATGTTGAAGCACATAGCTTCTGACTTTGTAAAATTTACCTGTAGGCCCGACACCATTGCAAATGTGTTGAGTTCTCTGATTAGGGAGGTTGCTGTGCTTAAGGGTCTGGTGTTGTGACCATTAGGTCGCCTGCAAAGAGGATTTGTAGGAAGTTGGGGCCAAATTTCATGTTAGTTAGTACTGCTAATATGTATTTCCACTCTAAGCAATCAAAGGCTTTGAGGATGTCTAGGGACATAATTGTCAATGGGAGTTTAGTTGCCTTGCTGTGTTCGATCAGGTTCGGTAGTTTCCTGATGGGGTCTGTTATATTGCAGCCAGGGACAAAGCCAGTCTGGTCTGGGGCTATTAACTTGTGTAGGAAGATTTTTAGGAGGTTGGCCAAGATTGATGTGAATATCTTGTAGTCTTGGTTTATTAATGAGATTGGGCGGTATGATTCTACTTTGAGGCTGCCTTTTAGTGGTTTTGGGCCATACCCATGTATTTTACAGGTGTGTCTTCCACTGCCTCCCGCAGTTTGGTCAAACTCATGTTGGTAGCTTCGAGAACACCCTAAATTAGCTATTTAGGGAGGTCTTGAAATGTGTGGACTGGGCCACCAGGGCAAGTGTCTGAACCTTCATCTGATAGGAAATGCTTTGCAGCAGTGGGCAACAGATAAAAAACGTGACATTGAGGAGGGTCATATGGCGGAGGGAGTGAGAGTGAGAAATGTCCTTATTTTCAAATGAGGAATGTTGGAGAGTATGCATACAGTGTACTCTCCCTCCCCACTTTATCCTCAAAAAACCCTGGTGAGGGTTATGTGGATAGACAGTGACTAGCCAAAAGCATTCTAGTGAACTTCATGGTTATGTGCTAAACACACTTTGCTTCTACAATAATCAAACTTCAACACAATTTTGCAGGGAGATTAATCCGTTCCCTACTTCTTTCCAGAACCCACCCACCACCTCAATCAAGTGATCACATCAAGAGATATCTGCGAGTTTGCTCACTTTTATTCAGCCTTAGGCTACCTAATTACATGGATATTATTGAATCTGGGATAGGCTGAGGAGGGAAAACTGGGATAGGTTGAGAAAGGGGTGTGCATCACTTTTCACCCTGGGATTTTTCCTCAGGCCTCTGGGTGGGCTCCATGGTGCCTGCTGTGCAGGTAAACATACAGGAGTATGAAGTGCCGTTGTTCCATTCAGAGTAGGGGATTACCACCTGGCTTATGGCCAAGATGGAATCCTTGATGCTGCCCTCCAAGACTCGGGAATTCACATGGTGACCTTCAAGGAGGGCATTCTTCACCCACTGGACAGAAACTTCACTTGCCTTGAGCCCTATGACCATGCTGGTGAGGATTGTCTGTGCTCGCTGAAGGCTGCTTTCTTTATGGTTGGCGCAATAGAGGTTCTCACGGAGACTGTTACCTTTGTCTTTTTAAGTTTTGGGGTGGGGAAAGTATGAGAGAAAGGGAGAGGCAACAGCTATTAATTTTAGACATAATTGATGGACAACATTTAAGACACTATTTAGTGCTGATTATTTTCTGCTTGATTCTCTGGCAAACATTTTTAATCTGTAGATAGAGGGGGTAAATCCTTAATGAAAGCTTTAAGGAGCAAAGGGGATTTAACTGAAGTTCTTGTGTGTGTGGACCTGAGTAGGAAGATCTGTGGCACATACATGGGGCTTCCTTGAGCTGGATGAGGACAAGGTGGGATAGTGGAGATTCCAGGAATATTTACACAGCTCCTTTCCCCAACATATATAAAGAAAGCGCCCAGCACAGGCTTCCCAGAGAAGGTATTCGTGTATAGGTTGGGTTTGAAAACCAAGGATAGCTAAAAACGTCCCATATCCAATAATACCATCTGTGCACAGTTGCTCCTGGAAACAATCCTCCCGCTCTCAAACCGTGCTTTTCCCCCCTTTCTTTTTTCTCTCCTTTTTTATTTTTTATTTTTATTTTCTTCTCCCCCTAATGCCTCAACAAATGAAACGGATTTGTAAAAATGTTACATGGGGAAAAATATATATGAGGCACTACACTTCTGTAAAACAAGAAAATCCTTAATAAAATATTTAAAAAAAAAAAAAAAAGGAAAACGAAGTCCCAACTGTGTCGAGAGTTTTTACCTTCAGGTTCATTGACTTTTGTTTGGGATTCAGGGACTGATAAGAGATAAGAGGAGAATTACTGTTCAGACCTCCACCAGACTGATTGCAGTTTCAAGTGGTGTCTTTCGTCAATACTAGCACCAATATCATGGCAACTGGTGGGGAAAGTCTTATCTCAACAGGCCATAATGGAAAGCAG